ACACACGCACCGTAAGTAAAAAATAAAATCTTTTTTTTTTTTTTTCCTGAAACAGGGTTTCCCTGTGGGCTGTCCTGGAACTAGCTCTTGTAGACCAGGCTGGTCTTGAACTCATAGAGATCCGCCTTCCTCTGCCTCCCGAGTGCTGGGATTAAAGGCATGCGCCACCAATGCCCGGCAAAAAATAAAATCTTAAAAAAAAAAAAAAAAAGGTCTGGATCCCATCCTGTGTGCCATTTCTTGTTTGGTTGGTTCGTTCTGGTGGAAGCCAGCTGCCACATCTTGAGCCGCTCTAGAAAGAGATCCACATGGCAAATGGCTGTTGAAGACTTCTAGACAACAGCTTATAGGCCCACAGTCCAAAGAGCCTCCAAGGAGCTAAATCTTCTACAAAAAGTGATGAGTGTTTTCAGACTCCCTCTGAGATGATGTCTGCCCTAATAATGGTTTGTGGTCTTGTTGTTATGCACTCATCTCATGCCTGCTCAGCTTCTTGGTCCATGGTCAGGACAGTGATCTTTAGCTGCTAAGTTCTATTGTAATTTGCAATGCAGCAATGAAAAATCAATGCAGAAGGCAAGGTGTAAAACAGATTGATAACTTAAGAAGACAAGATAGTTGGAAAGTACTTTTGCTGTTTATAGGTCATAGAAATTTGAGTGTTTTATATGCTGAAGAAAGCAAAGAAAATTTAAAAACAAAGCAAAAAGAATGAACTTTGGAAGAGCAAAAGGAGACAAGAGGGATACAGTGCTCTTCTCCTGCAAGCCTGCTCTGTGGATACACTGTCAACAGCCTGAGGGGCCCATCTTCTGAAGCCCGCTGGATGGAGCATTCCTGTGACCTCAGCACATGGATCCCTGCACATGAAAAGGTAGGATTACAAGTTTGAGACAATCCTGGGTATCACAGTAAGACCCTGTTGAAAGAAAGGGAGGGAAGGAAGGAAGGAAGGACGGAGAGATGGACTTACTTCAGGTTCCTCCTCATAGCTACCTAATCAAAACTTGGCAACTCCCACACACTGACCCAGAGCCCAAGTGAACAGAATAGATTCAGCCAGCAGAAAGGGAATTTCCATCTGAGACTACAGGAACTAGGAAAGGAGGTAGAGATATTAATAAATAAATTCCTTGATGGGGTTGAAAAGGAGAGAATTTGGCCACAGATGCTTTGGCATTTTGTATGAAATGTGAATTCATTTGGCCTCTGAAGATCGAAATGGGTGGTAATGAGTTACAATAGCTACTAAAGTGAGTGAAAGAGGGAAAAGATCTAGGAAGATAAATAATTACTTTACATAAACTGTCCTAGAAGCCTAGCTGGGTCTGAAGCTAGGCACTTGCTAGGTACTGTTAAGTGTTTTGCTTTGGTGTTGCTCAGTAGCCTGTTGGGGTAGGGATGGGGGTGACTGCAAAAAGTGAATAGTTTGAGTAATAGAATTACTACAAGAGTGAAATATTGGAGGAATAGAAAACCAGGTGTTGGTGGCACACCCCTTTAATCCCAGCACTTGGGAGGCAGAGGCAGGTGGATCTCTGTGAGTTTGAAGCCAGCCTGGTCTACAGAGTGAGTTCCAGGACAGGCTCCAAAGCTGCAGAGAAACCCTGTCTCAAAAAAAGAAATAAATAAATATGCATGTTCACAACATCACTTTTCAAAACACCCAAAATGGGGAAGCAACCTAAGTAGCACTGAGATGAGTGGGTGAAAAAAGTATTATAGACGTCTGTGGTGATTCAACTTCCTTATGACTCCACTAGGCTTAGAATCACCATAAAAACACACCTTTCTGGGTGTCAGTGTGTTTCCAGAAGGTTTAATACAGCAAGGAACACCTACCCTGGATTCGGGCAGCGCTGTTCCCCAAGCTGGGTCATACCCTCTGCTTTCCCACTGTGGGTACAGTATGCCCAGGTCCCACACATGCCTTGTGCTATGTCTTTCCTGCCATGATGGACTGCACCCTCAAACTGTGAGAAGATAAGCCAGCCCTCCCTACTGATGTTTTTGTAGTGTCTTTTCATAGCTGTGAGGAAAGTTATAATATGTGTTATAATACAGTGGGGTATGATTCAATAGGAAAGGGGAAGAAATTCTCATACATTTTCAACCACAAAGACAGAAGTGAAACAGCTCAGGCACGAAGGACACCCTGTGGCTGTATGTACACGGTAGTCAGATTCCTAAGGGCAGAAGTGAAATGGCGGCTGCCAGAGGCTGGAATGAGGAGACATTCTTTAGACATTCTTTAACACTTCAACTTTGGAAGTTGGAGGTATGTGGAAATGGTGCTTGCCCATCCTAAGAATGCGAGTATTCTTCATGCTGCTGAACTGGACACCTAAAACTAGTTAAAAACCTTAATTTTAGTTACTTGGATTTCACAATAAATAAGCGTTACCAAAACTAGTTCACGAAGGCTTGGGGATATGGCACAATGGCAGAGTACATGCACGTGCTCAAAGTCCTAGTTCAATCCCCGCAGCAAGGGGGAAAAAAAGAGACTACTCACGTAAAGATCTAACAGTTGCTGAGTCAAGGGAAACTGTCACCATTTTAATAAAAATAACAATAATATAAGTATTAAATACAACTAAAACTTAATAGCATGGAGGGCATAGTAGAATATACCTGTAACCCCAGCAGGGGGGAGATCAAGGCAAGATGATCATAAATTTGAAGTTCATCTGGGCTACACAGAGTGACATCATCAACAAAAAAACCCAAAAGTGCTATACTTTTCAACAACAAAAGTCTTAACCTCTCAAATAAAATCTTAACAGAAGAAATTGACCCATTATATAAAACCACTTACAAACAATTTAAATAATACGAGAACTGCAGCTTGATGGTCATCTCACCTAGCTGAATTGGTGAGCTTCTGTTTTAGTAAAAGACCCTGTCTCCAAAAAAAGACGTGGATAGTGATTGAGGATGATATCCAATTTACACACACACACACACACACACACACACCCCATACAGAAGAACACACACCCCCACACACACACACACCATACAGAAGAACACACACACACACACACACACACACACACACC